ATCCCTCTCTACCAAAGAGCCCGGCAGCTCTGGAGTTCTGCCCCCTCTCCTCTGGCTGCAGCTCTGGGGCTCTGCCCCCTCTCCTCTGGCTGCAGCTCTGGGGCTCTGTCCCCTCTCCTCTGGCTGCAGCTCTGGGGCTCTGTCCCCTCTCCTCTGGCTGCAGCTCCGAGGCTCTGTCCTCTCTCCTCCGGGTGGGATGTCCCAGGGCAGGGCCTATGAGAGGCTGCTGCTCAGAGGCCTCGCTCTGTTCTCAGATGGGGCCCACAGGAAGGCCTTCCGGGAGTCTGTGCGACCTGGCTGGGAGTACCTGGGCCGGAAGATGGTAGGTTTCCCCGGTTTCCCATACCTCTCGGGTCCCTGACCCTGGATCCATCTCACCCCACATCCTTCCCCACTCTCTACTCTTGCAGCTGTTTTTTTTTTTTGTTTTTTGTTTTTTTGTTTGTTTGTTTGCCTTAGGGCAAGGAGGGCTCTGCCTTAACTTCAGGGCTCTCAGGCTCCTTTAGGAAATGGGTTCCCTAGGACACAATGTACTCAAACTGTCCCGCGGGCACTGCCTTCCAGAACTAGGCAACCAGCAGCGTATCATCAATCTGCTGCACGCTAGGTTTGAGAAGCAAGCCCCTCCTTAGGGCCACCTCCCCCCATCCATTCCTTCCTCCTGTTCCTGGGCTCCTCCCTCAGGGTGAGCGTAGACACCTGTGACCTCTGCTGTCTGTCCTGCCCTCTCTGCTGTCTGTCCTACCCTCTCCACCGCCCTCAGCGTGCCTCCCTTCCCCCTGCTCTGGTTGTCCAGGACGTGGCTGACTTCGAGTGGGTGATGTGGTTTACCAACTTCCGAAACATCATTGTCTTTGCACTCTCGGGACACGTGCTGTTTGCCAAACTCTGCACGATGGTGGCCCCCCAGGTGAGCCAGGCCTGGGGCACTTGACCTCCTCCTGCCTGCCCTTCTCAGCCCCCCAAAGACTGTGGGAGTTTAACCGAGGCCTCCTTGTGCCCACAGCTCCGCTCCTGGATGTATGCTGTGTATGGAGTCCTGGCTGTGCTGGGCACAATGGGTCCATGGTACCTGCTGCTGCTGCTTGGCCACTGTGTCGGTCTCTATGTGGCCTCACTCTTGGGTCAGCCCTGGCTGTGTCTTGCCCTTGGACTGGCCAGCCTGGCCTCCTTCAAGATGGACCCCCTGATCTCTTGGCAGGTACATAGGATAGGGGGGTTAGGGATGAGGACTCGGGGGCCTTGTCTGGAGCATTCCCAAGCATTTCCTCGATTTTTCCACCTGTCCTCAAGTCTTTGAGTGAGGTGGCCATTTGCACTTTGTCCCTTGCTCTGCTGTGTTGCCGAGCTAAAATCAGTGTTGCCTAGCAGGATCAGGCCCAGCTTCTGTGGGAAGCCAGAAAGGGGTTCTCCTAGAAGCATGGGCCTGCTAGTGAGCCAGAGGCTTGCTGTCTCCTTCCAGAGTGGGTTTGTAACAGGCACCTTTGATCTTCAAGACGTGCTCTTCCACGGGGGCAGTGGTTTCACGGTGCTTCGGTGCACCAGCTTCGCGCTGGAAAGCTGCGCCCACCCTGACCGCCGCTACTCCCTTGCTGACCTGCTGAAGTACAATTTCTACCTGCCCTTCTTCTTCTTCGGGCCCATCATGACCTTTGACCGTTTCCATGCTCAGGTGAGGGGAACCCCGTGGGATCACAGAACACCCATGGCTGGGTCTCCTTCTCCTGACAAGGACTCCTGTCTCAGACCTAACTCCTCAAGTATGAGCACCCCATCCTCAGACCATCTGTGGCTCCCCTCTCAAACAGGGCTCTACCCCTCCAGGTGAGCCAGGAGCCAGTGAGGCCAGAAGGGGAGCTGTGGCGCATCCAGGCCCAGGCAGGACTCAGCGCAGCGGCCATCGCAGCTGTGGACATCTTCTTCCATTTCTTCTACATCCTCACCATCCCCAACGACCTTAAGTTTGCCAGCCGCCTCCCAGACAGTGCTCTCGGTGGGTCCCCCCAACGGGACGGAGGCAGGGCCACCACCAGGAAAGCCCCCACTTGTGTGGTACCCAAGGCTTTGAAATGTGCACGGCTCATTTGTCTCATCACATAAAGCCCTTTGCCTCCCAAACTGCAGATGCCACCTGAGGGGTGCGGCTGATTTTCACGGGTCAGTGGGGCCCAGCACACACCTCTAGAGAGGTGCGGGGTCTCTGTGGAGATAGGGGTGGGACAAAAGCAAGACTCTTTGTCCACGGGGTTGGGAGGTGAGATTCAGGATACGGGGCCATCAGTGCACTGACCTCCAGAGAGTGATGTCACCTGTCCCCAGCTGGCCTGGCCTACTCCAACTTGGTGTACGACTGGGTGAAGGCAGCAGTCCTCTTCGGTGTTGTCAACACGGTGGCACGCCTGGACCACCTGGACCCTCCGCAGCCGCCTAAGTGTATTACTGCGCTCTATGTCTTCGGAGAAACGTGAGTGAGGAGGGCGGGTCGCCACTGGCTCCCGGCTGTCCTTAGCTTTGTGTCCCATGCCCAAAGGCTCTGCCTCTGGCAGAGTCAAGTCCTTATGTTCTTCCCACAGGCACTTTGACCGTGGCATCAATGACTGGCTTTGCAAGTGAGTTGGAGAATGGTACCAGCCTCCCTGCGAGGTGGTCAAATGCACTGGGGCCATGGATTGTTTTAGGGATTGGGCCAGAGAAACCAGGAGGCAGTGGAGGAAGCTGTAGTGTCTGCTTGGGAGACAGACATAGAGCTTGGGACTTTGTGGGAGCCCCAGAAATGGTGGGAGCAGAGACACAGCTGGAAGCTTGGTAGGAAGTCATGTTTAGCAGAGGTATCCAGGGAGTGGGTGGTACCCAAATTCCTGCCTGCCTCCTAGGAAGATTGACAGGACATTTTCACACAGAGGTGTCTAGTTGACATCTTTGTGGAAACTTGGGGAGATGTCTAGACCCGAGAATTTGGGGTCAAGAGAAAACTGGTGGTCCTCCATCCAGTGAGCATTATGAGTAGGGCAAAGGGGTCTCCTGCACCAAGCCTCAGAAAACCTGATTCTTAAGGAGGGAGGTAGCAAAACTGGACCCAGAAGGACTCTGGCAGGGACCAAAGAAGAGGCAGCAGAAAGACATGAAAAAGTGGTCAGCAGAAGAGGACACGTGGCTATATGAGTCCCTGGAGACCAGAGGAGAGTGTGCAGGCATGAAGGTTCCCAAGCAGGCACTGTCACAGTCAAAGGAGGAGCTGCGGGGAGCGTGTGCAAGAGGTCCTGGGGCAGCCTGGGTCTGCATGGGAAACCAAAAGAGCAGCTTCGGGGAGGTGTGGGCGTGACGGGGCATTGAGGCAGGATTGAGGGGTGGTTGACAGAGCCAGGTCCCCGAGGACACAGGAGGAGCGGGATAGACAGGAGGGAGAAGGAGGAAGATGGCCAGGTTAATCATAGATATGGAAGTAGGCAAGGGTGAGAGACACGGGGTAAGGGCATGCATCACCCTTCTGGGCACCCTTGCAGGAGCCAGGGGTGCAGTATCCATTTCCAAGCTCTCTCTGACTGGAGAGAGCCCAGGAGGGATTGGAGGGAGAGCATTTAGGATCCATGAGGTGGGAAACATGGTACGGGGTGTGCAAGCATGTGTGTGTATGTGCATGTGTGTGTGCATGTGTGTGACTGGAGTCTCCCAGGTGGGTGAGCAGGAAGAAGCAAGAGATTGTAATGATGGTGGTGTCTGTGAGTCTATTAGGGAGAGTGGTAGAGATTTGAGGGTTATAAGGTCAATGGGTGTGATCAGAGGAAGATCAAAGAAAAAAGCCCCTGGTCAGTAGGAGTTCAGAGGGATGAGGTTTCAAGCTGGGGTGTGGTCCTGGGAATATGTGGGTAAGACAAGGTGGAGAAGCCTTGGAAAAGAGGTCAAGAGGTGAAAGGCTGGTGTTTACTGAGTTCCCACTGTGTGTCAGGTGCTGTGTGTGTGTCAGGTGCTGTGTGTGTGACAGGTGCTGTGTGTGTATCAGGCGCTGTGTGTGTCGGGTGCTGTGTGTGACAGGCGCTGTGTGTGACAGACGCTGTGTGTGTCAGGTGCTGTGTCTGACAGGCACTGTGTGTGTCAGATGCTGTGTGTGACAGGCACGGTGTGTGACAGGCGCTGTGTGTGACAGGCGCTGTGTGTGTCAGCTGCTGTGTGTGTGATGGGCACTGTGTGTGATGGGCGCTGTGTGTGACAGGTGCTGTGTGTGTGACGGGCACTGTGTGTGACAGGCACTGTGTGTGACAGGTACTGTGTGTGACGGGCACTGTGTGTGACAGGTACTGTGTGTGATGGGCACTGTGTGTGACAGGTACTGTGTGTGGCAGGCACAGTGCATGTCAGGAGGGTGTTGGGTATGAGGTTAGGCAGGAGGCAGACACGTGGCTGCAGTGTCTTCATGGCATAAAGAACTTACCTTATTACTAGGAGGGTGAATCGTGGACTAATGTGATCTGATCCTCACTTTAAAATAAGATTTATTGTATTATTTTACGTGCATGTGTGTGGGCCTGAACGTGTGTATGTGCACTACATGCTTGCAGGTGCCTACAGAGGCCAGAAGGGAGCATTGGATAGCCCAGAATTGAAGTTACCGCAGTTGTGAGCCACCCAATGTGGGTGTAGGGAAACGAGCCCAGGTCCTCTGTGAGAGCAGTTCACACTCTTACCCGCTGAGACATCCCTCCTGCCCCCTGAGCATTGGTGGAGGCAAAACCAGGGCTATGGGGCTCCTGAGCAGTAGAGGGACCCCTGAACTATGGCAGAGGGGTGCAAGGGGTGATCAGGGAACAAGACCCAACAGAGCTGATAGAGTCTGCAGCTTGGATGTTGGGGATGGGGGAATCCAGAATATTGACTACAACCTAAAGCCTTGAGCAATGGTCAGGTCAGGCCCTCCACCAAGATGGACTGGAAGCAGCCTCTGAAGTGACACACCTAAGGACAGGTGAACGTCTGGAAAAGGAGACGGAGGCAAAGACACGGGCTTGGGTCATCCACAGACTGTTTAGAAAAGCTAGGGTCTGAAGGAGACAGAACTGGGGACTAGACAATTCAAGCCACAGATACGAAAGTCCGAGTCTGCCCTTCCACAGTTTGAAGCTGGGCAGAGGAAATGCAGGCACGTGATCCCCAGAGTTTGATGTACCACGTGCCACCCTGCTGTGCAGAACGAATGTGTCTGTCCCCACATTCCTGCGGTCCCCTCCTCCCGTCTTTTCTGCAGGTACGTGTATGACCACATCGGTGGGGATCATTCCGCCGTGATCCCGGAGCTGGCCGCCTCCGTGGCCACATTTGTCGTCACTACTCTGTGGCTTGGGCCTTGTGACATCGTCTACCTGTGGTCTGTTCTTAACTGCTTCGGCCTCAATTTTGAGCTCTGGGTGCAGAAGCTGGCAGAGTGTGGGCCGCTGGCACAAATCGAGGTAGGCAGGAAGATCCAGGGCTGGGATTGGCTGGGATCAGTTAGGTCACAGGAGGCAGTGGCACTGCTGCTTTCTGGGGTCACCAGGCACACTTGGTCCCTGGTCCAGGAAGTTCTCCCTAAACCTGTCCCGCCTGCCAGGGTAGGAGCGTCACCCGGTGCAAACCTGGGTCTCCCTAGCTTCTGAGTGGCAAGGCCTGGCTCTGGTTCCTCTGGGCTGGAGTGAGTGATGCTGACTGACCATGTCCCTCTCTCCTGGCCCTCTCGTCGACACATTCTTGGACGGCAGGCCCGGCTATCCGAGCAGATGTCTCGGAGGGTCCGGGCCCTCTGCGGGGCTGTAAACTTCTGGGCTATCATCATGTACAACCTTGTGAGTCTCAACAGCCTTGAGTTCACAGAGCTGGTCGCCCGACGCCTGCTACTCACAGGTAAGGGACGGGGGGGGGGGGACACAGGATGCGCCCCACCCCACATGATCTACCCAATGCATACGCAGCACCCTAGCATGGCTCCTCCTCCACAGGCTTCCCTCAGACCACACTGGCCATCTTGTTTGTCACTTACTGTGGTGTCCAGCTGGTGAAGGAGCGTGAGCGGACCTTGGCGTTGGAGGAAGAGGAGCAGAAGGACAAAGAGAAGCTGGAGTAGAGGCCGGGGACAGAGGTCTGGGTTCTGCTCAGCTGCTTCTGGGCCCCAGGCCCAGGCCCTGAGGCCTGACCGATAGAATAAAAGACTTTTCTACCATAGTGTTCTACTGGCTTCTTGTCCTCTCTGGGCAGGGAGCTGACGGTTCCAGGCTTTGGGGGAATGATGCCGTGTCCTGTGAGGGCAGGACAGCCACATCGACAGCCTAGCATTGGTATAGTCCAGCCCTGTGAACACTGACTCTGTGGTAGCTGTGTGCACCTGTGGCTTAGATGCTCAGTAGATAGTTCATTGACTGTCCCCGAGCTTCCCAACGGAGGTCTGTGTTAGCACCAGGAGGTGCCACTGACCGAGACGCTCCCACCTGACGGGCACAGAGAGAGTCCCTTAGGAGACAAAACAGGCACACACAGCCAACCTGGACAGAGCCAGAACACAGCCTGGGATGCCTGCCTGGCTTCGCAGTCCTTGAGGAGACAGGGAGAAGTGCCTCAATCCCTTTCTTGACCAGAGAAGCCTGTCTGGCTCATACCGCCCTCTCCCAGGTCCTTTCTGGATCCCGCAAGGTATTTGTTGTGAGGCCACGGGATAGGAAAGAGGCTCAGTTAGGGCCCTGCCCTGGTCACATCTTGGTCAGGCGAAGCACGTTGAGGCGTACGGGGAGGAAGGTGGCACCGGCTGCATAGGCGATCTCCCGCAGGACCCCCTCCCACTTCTTCTCATCCTCGTTGAACCTGAGGGGAAGGCAAAGTGGGAATAAAGATGGGAGTTTTATCAAATGGAGGATGGGCAGGGACCCTGCAAGGCTGGGTGGCTGGTGCCCCAGGCCCACCCCCAAGGGTGCCTGTTTCTAAACCACTGTCATGTGCTAGAGTGGGATCCCACAACAGGCACTCTAAGAAGACACCCTGCAGTGTAGAGCAGCCCCCTCCCAGGAAAAGCTGCCTCCGGGCCCCCCATGCTCCTCAAAGTTCAATGCCCTTGGGAAAGACTTCCGGTTCCCAAAGTCAAGTCTCTTCTCCTGAGACTTCTGAACACTGAAGAAGTTCCTGAGACAACTGCCCTTCTTCCCCCACCAGAAGAAGGTGTAGGGGGAAAACCATCTCTCAGAACCTGGGTCTAGCCACCTCCCACTCCTAGCCTCACTGCTCCTCTAGACAAAGCACCCCAGAAATGGGGAGAGCAGACTCAGGGCTGCACCTGACACTTGAGTGTGAATCCTGTCTGTGACCCACTGGGGCTCCACAGGGGGGCCTGCCACGGGCTTGGGAGAAGCCAGGGCGGAGCAACCATGTTTGCTGTCCTTGCCTTGGGACTCTCAGGATCCACCCCTCCACCCCCCCGCGAGCAGCACCTCAAGGTTGGGCTCACCTCCATATGTCATTGAGCTCCGTGGGGACCAGCTCTCCAGACTCGGTCTCCAGAGTGGCAAAGCCACCCAGGGCATAGAGAGTGCCAGCTAAGCTGACCAGGCTGAGTGAGCTGCGCTCCTGTGGGAAGGCCTCGAAGGAGGACCACCTAGGGACAGGGGAGAGGTGAGCAATCCAGGGCTTCAGCAAGCTTAGCCCCCGTTCCCACCGCCATAGCGCCCATTGCCCCTGGGAATTGGATTCCAGGTTGCAGCCCTCCCTGGGCGATGTCCTGTTCGCTGAGCTTCGAACACCCACAATGCTCAGTCATCTCAGTCGCGCTCTCATTCACTCTGACCTCTACGTCCCCACTCCTCCCTTCCCCATCACTTTGCCACCCATCCAACCTGCACAGTGGATGGATAGCCCCACTCTGTACGTCCCTTTACCTGGTAACTCAGTCCCCAATGTTGCTGGACTCAGGCTGTGGCTGCCACTGATGGCCCTGTTCCTTTGAATGCCCTCCATCCTGGTGCTCCTCCTGGTGTCTGCTCCCTGCCTTTCTGCTACGGGGGGCTCCTTCTGTACACCCCCAGACACCCTGATTCCACATTTCCTGGATGAACCCTCCAGTTTGCTGCCTAACTCCCAGGGTTCCCCAACAACTGGTCCTTTAGACTTCCTCAAAAGATTCAGTTCACCCTCTTTCCCGTCCAGCACCCTACCCACCACTAACCTCAAAGAATGCCGGCTGGAAATGCAGCTCCTCTGCCCCATCCTGTTCCTTATAAACCACGTTCCACTTACTCCCCTGGGCCCTTTCCTAAAACATCTAGGAATCTGTTACCTCTGTCTCTGCCACAACCAGACCCCCCTCTCTCTGAGAAATTCCCTAATCTGCTGTCCTGTGAGAGCCAGTGAGACACAGAGCTTAAACTCACAGGAGACATTCCACTGGCCTTAACCCTTCACCTCTCCCATCCCAGAACCTTCCCACATCCCTTCGCCCACCGACCTCCATTCTACTGAGCATGGCCTTTCTTCTAGGGGCCTCATCTTTTGGTGTTGGGTACCCATGAACCACTATCTTTGCTGGATGGGGCCAGATGGCTTCTCTTTCCTGATCTCCTAACTCTGCAATCTCAGATCCTGACCATTTTCTGGTAGCTGTTCCCAAATGAGGAACCTGTCACCCCCAGCCCCCACCCTGGGAGCCCTTCTGCAGACTTTCCTGCAGTGAAGCCTCAGATGAGAGGGACCTACTTCAATACCAATGTCCCAAGTCAACATGAAGACCTGACCTGGGTCTATGACCCTCAGTAGGGCAGATAGGGCTGATTCAGGCAAGCAGCTGCAGAGGGGAGAGGGGTGGAGAAAGGGACCTACTTGTTGTCTGCAATGCTGTACACCTCCGCGGAGCTGGTAAGCCCTGTGTCTGTCACCCCTGCAGCCACAAAGATGCGGCCATCGTGAACAGTGGCCCCGAAGAGCGAGCGGGCTGTCTGCATGGGTGCCAGCTCCTTCCACTCAAACTTCTTGGGGTCGTAGACACACATCGTCTTTAGACATTTCCTGTGGGTGGACAGAGTGAGTGGAGAGAGGGAGGCTGGGACAACTGCTTGGCCCCTCAGCCACACGGAGGCTCCTCCCACCACCAGCCTGAACCTCACCTGTCCTTGCCTTTGCCGCCAATGACGTAGATGAGGTCCATGTGGGAAAGCACTGTGTGGCCATACACTGCATAGGGCAGTGGGTCCGATTCGCCCCATTTGAATGACCTGGAGGGGACGGGAGGGACAGGAGCTCAAGCAGACATCAAGGCTGGTTCTCGGCATCCACATCCACAACACAACACACAACTGAGGGCATTACATCCTTCCCGGCCCCCTCCCCTGAAGTTTTGGGCCTGTGTACCAGCCTACCTGTCCCTCTGCTCAAGTCTCTACCCAATGCTTGTACATCTGTGCAGGCCTCCTGGCTGTCCCAAGTGATCCCAGGCCCTCCCTCCCCAGGGTCCCTCCCTCCCCAGGGTCCCTCCCTCCCCAGGGCCCCGCCCACTTACAGCCTGTCGTAGCACAGGACTGAGTCCAGGCTGTCCTCGGCGTCCTTGAGCTCCCGGCCGCCGACCACATAGATGGCGTTGAGAGCCTCCCCCAGGCCGAAGAGGCAGCGTGGTGAGGGCAGTGGTGGCATCCCCAGCCACTCAGAGTCCAAGTGGTCAAACTGTGGGCAGGCAGTGTCCTTGGGTCAGCCACCAACAACCTCCTATACTAACCTCCTGGCCTGGTCCAGCCAGATCCCAGAGAGAGGAGTTCTTCCCTCTAAGAGAGAAGTCCTCCTGTGGTCTTGACTCTTGGGTCAAGACCCCCTATGCAAGCCTCCCATCATACCTTCTGCACCTGCCTAACCCATGGTTACAGGCACAAGGGCCTCAGATTATATGGATGAACACTTGATATTATTTAACCTCTGTTCAGCTTTTTCAAGCATGGAAGAGTATCCCATGCTTTATCCACATAAAGAGGCCCAGAGAGAAGAAACTTCACACCACAGTGAGCCTGGGAGAGCTGCCCCTCACCTACGCCAATTGTGAGGCCTGTGGACTTAACCTTGGCACCCAGCCTGCCCGGCCGCTCCTCACTACCTGTACCAGCTTGTCTGGTTCTGCTGTCACATGCTCACCAACTAGTGCGGGTTGCCATCAGTGTTAAACCCCTCCCCCTTCTCATCTCCAGATTTCACCTAATTGACAAGGCTCAAGACCACGGGGTCAGGCTATAGATTCTCCAAGGTCCTGGACCAGGGTTTCTCCCCAACCAGTCCTTCTGAGCCTCAGTCTCCCCCACTCCCCCGACTGAAAGGAGAAGGCAAGGTGCTCTCGGTGTGATAATCTGTGTTTCCCACCTGTCCTGGCACTTCTGCCAAGGCTCGGCTCACTATTCTTCTCTGTTCCTGACCCCCAACCCCTCACACAGGGTCAGGGCCTCCAGCTCCCCAGATTGCTGGACCCTGGGCCTAACGACCCCCAAACACAGCCACTAGACTTACACAGAGCTCTTTAGAAACTGCTTTTAACTCTTCCCCTTTCAAGCAAGTGGCTGCTAGTCAAAGGTCCTAGACCCAATGACAGCACTCAAGTAGACACAGGCCCCATCCACGCCCCAAGGCTGCCTCCTAGTACCCAGAACCCAGAACTAGTCTCTCCCAAGGCTGGCCAATCACCTGCAGAAAGTAAGCACTCATAGGGTCCTCTTTGTTGTCCTCATTGTAGAAGAGGCCACCGGCCACAAAGATCTGGTTCTCCTTGGTCACCAGGCTGACATGGTTCTTGGGAATCTGGGTGGACAGGGAGGCACAGTAGCACTCATTGGCGGCTGGGTCGTAGGCCACCGCACCCTCCTCACTGATCATGAAGATAAGGTCTTGCAGGAACATTCCGAAGCGCAGGGTATCATTGAGGATCCCAGGCAGCACTCGCTCCTCATCGTCCCCAGCCTTGGCGTCTGCTGCGCCCTGGTTGGCCTCCTTGGTCTGGGCTGTTTCCTGGCCCTTCTCCTTCTTCTTCTTGCGCAGTGTAGTGAGGCGGCCCTCGTGCGCGTCCTTCACCATCTGAACCTTGCGCAGCAGCTCGGGCTGGGCGCGCACAAGAGGGTGGCGTTCCACGCGGCTCTCCAGGAAGGCGCGAGGTAGCAGGCGGCAGCGAATGCTCTCGAAGACCGTAGGCAGCGCCCGCTGGCGCTCCGCCTGTGCCTCGGCATCGCCGCTGCCGGCCCAGCGCATCACCGCCTCGAACACCGCCTCCTCCTTCTCTACGTTGAGGCCGTCGCTGGAAATGATGGCGATCAGCTCGTCAGCCGAGAGCCCCAGGAAGTCGTTGTCGCGCGCCACCAGCGGGAAGCGCGAGCAGATGAAGTCGCGCGCCGACACCGCCAGGCGCGCGCAGTCCAGTAAGAGGCCGAGGCGGAAGACAGCCAGGCAATTGGCCAAGCACAGGCGCTTCTGCAGGAACGACACGCAGATGGTGAAGATGGATGGAATCTGGAATCGGTGCGCCGCTGCGAACAGGTCCTGCACGTTTGCCTCGTCCAGCGCGATCTCCGACGTGTACAGGTAGTGCAGCACCTGGGACACCACGTCGGGCGACACCTCCTCCAGGCGCAGCTCTCCCGCGCCGTCGGGCTCGGCCAGGAAGCGCGCGCGGAAGTAGGGGCTGCAGGCCGCCAGTACCAGGCGGTGGCACGGGAACTCGCGCTCGCCCACGCGCACCACGCAGTCCAGGAACTTGCCGTGGTCCAGCATGTCCTTGAGGCCGTCCTGAAGGAGTGTCTGCTGGTACAGCCGCTGCTCCTCCGCCTGCTCCAAGCCCAGCGTCATGGTGCGGCTCCCTGGAACGCAGCAAGTCTGTGTGGTCAAGGACTGTTCTGCACACTTCTGCTGTCCTGTGGGGTCGCGCTCTGACTGCGCAGCTGTCTCCGCTGGGCTATATATAGAGGATTGTCTGGACCCTGTAAGAGGAGCCGCTTGGCCTCCTGCACATGACGTACAGGGGACAGCTGGGCAGAGCACCCTTGACTCAGCGCTGGGGCTCATGGGGCGAGGGTGGGGTACGTCTGGGCCTTTTCAGAACTGGAAGGTCTCTCGGGCCTATAGATATACGGCTGCCCCTAGAGGGAACTGGTCCCTCTTCAGGACTCTTCCTTCATCCCTGCCTTCCTCACAGAGCATATCTCACGTGACCACTCCTGGTTATGATCGTTTGTGTTTCCCGCTTGGTGAACATGTCCCTGGCAATCGCTGCTTAGAGACCTTGGCTCCCGCTTTCAAAATGGGAAGGGGTTTCCTGTCTGCTCCCAGCTCAGAGACCTTCCCTTTCCGTAAAGAAACCCCTTAAGTCAACAGGAGTAGGTGTTTCTCTGTTGAGCCTCGGTTTCCCCTCCCGCTAAATGATGAAGAGGCGCTAGAATCCAAGGGCCTCGGCTCAGCTTTGTTGAGGGCAAGAGACCTTGGGGCAGCATGCTCCAGGGAGGACTTGGAGGTGTCAGGTCTGCTAGAAAATTCGTTTCCTAGGATTCTCCTATTCCGGGTGTTTAGACCTTCAAATTCTTAATATTCCAGGGAGTTCCATTTGGAATCATAGAGTCCGAAGAGTTGCATTCCCCAGAATCTGCTTAGTGCTCAGAGACTGCCTGTCTGTACCCATTGTCCTTGGTTCACCCAGTGTTCCTGTCTGACCTCGGGCCCCTGCAGCCTCTCTGTGATTTGAGGAGTTGGGTTGAGACTGAGCATAGGGCATTTAGATGTCCACCTTGCTCTGGACTCCTGTCCACCCCCTAACCGGCACGTGGGCTTCTGCCTCCAAGATGAACACATTCCCCAAGCTCCCGAGGCTGCAGCTGTGGGTTAAATTTAGCCCCGGGACACTGGTAGGAGGTGTAACAGAGCACTCCCCCCACCATGCCTCTGAGTCACTTGTTTTTAACCTTGAGCTTGTGGGGGGGGGGAGATAGAAGAAAAAAACCTGAGGTGGGGGACTGAGTCACCTCCCTTTTGTGATTCCGGAAACACCCCTGCCTGTCCCTCAGGAGTACTGCACTGACAATCACCCAGTTCTACAGGGCACATCCCTGGACAGGGTCCAGAAGTGGGCTGCCCACCTTCCTGCTGCTTATAGGGCTACCTTAGGGTGGGCTAGGAGGGCTTGCATCCCAGCTCTGGACAGTGGGGCATTTCTAGACAACATTACCCATAATTTTCTGGGTTTCACAGCTGAGCCAGAGCAGACACGCCCATCTCTGACATCTTGGAGACCGCTCCCCAAGTGAATAAAAATGTCTGTGATCACAGCCTCACTTTCCTAAGACCTGACTAAAAATGAATTTATAGCCACCAGATGACTTAATGTCGTATTTTAGGTTTATGACAGATTCTACGGTGCTACCAGGCTTCCCGGGAGAACATTTAATGTGGCTCATTCATCCTTCCAAAGCCTACTGTGTACTAACACGGGTTAGCGGCGGCTGTGTCCGTTGTGAACACCGTCCCTCTGGAGCCTACATCTGCTGGGGTGAGCATCATGGCAAGAGAGCCACAAATCAGTGCCTTATCCTGAGTGCTGGAGATGGGTGAAGTGGGGGACATGGCAGGTGCTGGGCACGACAGGCAGAACTAGGTGGAACTGTTCCACCTGCCTCCAGCCGGAGATGACGACCCAAGCCTGCTGGTTCCTGACCCGACCTAGCAACAAGGCCGTGCAGGAGGCCTATTCCTGTCACAAACTGACCCACGTGCCTCCACAAGTCCACGCGGGGGCTGCCACCGGTTGATGAAGCAGGAGCCTCACCAAGGGCCGTGTCCTGGGTCTGAGACTCGTTTTCCTGCTTAGAGATACAAGATTGGCTGAGGGAATCCCCTCCATCTTCAGGCAGTGTTGGCAGGACTAAGATTTAAAGACCCATAGGGCCTCTGAGGTTTACGTGGTGCCTTGAACCTGAGTTCACAAAAGCAGACCAGGGTCAGGTTGGGGGAGGGGCCAGGCTGGGGTAGGGACCAGGCTGGGAGAGGGGTTCAAGTAGAGGACTTGATTTTGACCTGGGAAAAAATAATTCAAGAAAGACAAAGAGCACTAAACTTAAACAATCTGACTGCCTATGGCAATAAAGGAGGAGAGAGAGAGAGAGAGAGAGAGAGAGAGAGAGAGAGAAAGAGAGCATCAGGCCAAGAATTAAGAATATCACAACTTGAATGCTTAGAGAATCATCTGGTGCCTGTACCCAGGGGAATATAAAATACTAGAATTATCTGGAGGGGATTTGAAAGCAACAATCACAAAATGTTTCAATCAATTAAAAATTCTCTTACATTTCTCAAAGCAGAAAAATCTCAGCAAAGAAATAGAAGTGATATGGAAAAACCATGTGGGAATTGCAGATCTGAAAAAAAATGCAACAAAGAAAAATCTTCCCGAGTGGCCTTGATAAAAGTGAGAGAATGGTCGGAAAGTGGAGGCGCCCGCCTTTAATCCCAGCACTTGGGAGGCAGAGGCAGGCGGATCTCAGCGTTCAAGGCCAGCCTAGTCTGCAGAGCAAGTTCCAGGACAGCCAGGACTATACAGAGAAACCCTTTCTTGAAAAAAAACCCCACAAATAAACAAACAAACAAACAAACAAAAGGTAAGAGAATAAGTCACCCAGGGAAGAGGGTTAGAACTGTCCCCTACCTAGCAACAGTGAGACATTATGGTAAGTATGTAAAGTTACAAAGGTCTCAGGCCCATTGTTTCCTAACAGAGAGAGAGAGAGACAGACAGACAGACAGACAGAGAGAGACAGAGAGGGAGAGAGAGAGAGACAGAGAGGGAGGGAGAGAGAGAGAGAGAGAGGGAGGGGGAGAGGGAGAGACAGAGAGAGACGGAGAGGGAGAGAGAGAGAGAGAGAGGGAGAGA